ATGAAAATATTGAGTTTATAAAGGAAATTTTGGGGAGGGGTAAATGGGTTTTTTTAGGGAGATGGAAAGGGGAATAAATGGGAATAAAATGGGAATAAAATGGGAATAAATGGGAATAAAAATAGGAATAAAATGGGAATAAAAGGGATTTAGAAAGGGAATAAAAGGGAATAAAAAGGGAATAAAATGGGAATAAAAATAGGAATAAAAATAGGAATAAAATGGGAATAAAAGGGATTTAGAAAGGGAATAAAATGGGATAAAAAGGGGAATAAAATGGGAATAAAAGGGATTTAGAAAGGGAATAAAAGGGAATAAAAAGAGGAATAAAATGGGAATAAATGGGAATAAAAAGGGGAATAAAATGGGAATAAAAGGGATTTAGAAAGGGAATAAAAGGGGATGAAAAAGGGAATAAAAGGGAATAAAAATAGGAATAAAATGGGAATAAAAGGGAATTAGAAAGGGAATAAAAGGGAATAAAAAGAGGAATAAAATGGGAATAAAAGGGATTTAGATAGGGAATAAAAAGGGAATAAAAAGGGGAATAAAATGGGAATAAAAGGGATTTAGAAAGGGAATAAAATGGGATAAAGAGGGAATAAAAGGGAAATAAAGGGAAAATAAACAGAAATAAACCGAAAATAAATGAAATTAAACAGAAATAAAGGGAAAATAAACAGAAATAAACCGAAAATAAATGGAATTAAACAGAAAAAAACAGAAATAAAGGGAAAGTAAACAGAAATAAAATGAAATTAAACAGAAATAAACAGAAATAAAGGGAAAATAAACAGAAATAAACAGAAATAAACGAAATAAAGGAAAAATAAACAGAAATAAACAGAAATAAAGGCAAAATAAACAGAAATAAAGGGAAAATAAACAGAATTAAACAGAAATAAAGGGAAATAAAGGGAAAATAAACAGAAATAAAATGAAATTAAACAGAAATAAAGGGAAAATAAACAGAAATAAAATGAAATTAAACAGAAATAAAGGGAAATAAAGGGAAAATAAACAGAAATAAAACGAAAATAAACAGAAATAAACGAAAATAAACAGAAATAAAACAAAAATAAACAGAAATAAACAGAAAAAAACAGAAATAAACAGAAATAAAGGGAAAATAAACAGAAATAAAATGAAATTAAACAGAAATAAACGAAAAATAAACAGAAATAAAGGGAAAATAAACAGAAATAAAGGGAAAATAAACAGAATTAAACAGAAATAAAGGGAAAATAAACAGAAATAAAGGGAAAATAAACAGAAATAAAATGAAATTAAACAGAAATAAAGGGAAATAAAGAGAAAATAAACAGAAATAAACAGAAAAAACCAGAAATAAACAGAAATAAAGGGAAAATAAACAGAAATAAAGGGAAAATACACAGAAATAAAGGGAAAATAAACAATTAAACAGAAATAAAGGGAAAATAAAGGGAAATAAAGGGAAAATAAACAGAAATAAACCGAAAATAAACAATTAAACAGAAATAAAGGGAAATAAAGGGAAAATAAACAGAAATAAACATAAATAAAATGAAATTAAACAGAAATAAACAGAAATAAACAGAAATAAAGGGAAAATAAACAGAAATAAAGGGAAAATAAACAGAAATAAACATAAATAAAATGAAATTAAACAGAAATAAAGGGGAAATAAACAGAAATAAACAGAAATAAAGCGAAATCACCGGAATTTGGCGAGGAAGCGGCGGCGGCGTCCGCGGCGCTTTTGGCAGCGTAAATATTCGCCTCCTCCTGGAACTTGCCCATGTTCTTCTTGTAGCGGATCCTCTTGTTCCCAAACCAGTTGGAAACCTGGGAAAAATCCCCAAAAAAAATTTGGGAAAAAAAATTCCCATGGGAAGGAGAAATTCCCCAAAATATTCAGTTTTTTGGGGTTTTTTGGGTTTTTTTGGGGGTTTTTTTGGGGTTTTTTTGGGGTTTTTTGGGGGGTTTTTTGGGGTTTTTTGGGGGGTTTTTTTGGGGTTTTTTGGGGTTTTTTTGGGGTTTTTTTGGGTTTTTTTTTGGGTTTTTTGGGGGGTTTTTTGTGTTTTTTTGGGGGTTTTTTTGGGGGTTTTTTTTGGGTTTTTTGGGGGTTTTTTGGGGTTTTTTTGGGGGGTTTTTTTGGGTTGTTTTTGGGGTTTTTTGGGGTTTTTTTGGGTTTTTTTCAGTGAGAATTCCAGGGATTATTCCAGTGAGAATTCCAGGATTTCATTGATAATTCCAGGGATTATTCCAGGATTTCAGTGATAATTTCACAAGGAATTCCAGGGATAATTCCAGGATTTCACTGATAATTCCAGTGAGAATTCCAGGATTTCACTGATAGGAATTCCAGTGAGAATTCCAGGATTTCAGTGATAATTTCACAAGGAATTCCAGGGATAATTCCAGGATTTCACTGATAGGAATTCCAGGGATAATTCCAGGATTTCATTGATAATTCCAGTGAGAATTACAGGATTTCACTGATAGGAATTCCAGTGAGAATTCCAGGATTTCAGTGAGAATTCCAGGGATAATTCCAGGATTTCACTGAGAATTTCAGTGAGAATTCCAGGATTTCACTGATCATTTCACAAGGAATTCCAGGATTCCACTGAGAATTTCACAAGGAATTCCAGTGAGAATTCCAGGATTTCACTGATAGGAATTCCAGGGATAATTCCAGGATTTCACTGATAATTCCAGTGAGAATTCCAGGATTTCATTGATAATTCCAGGGATAATTCCAGGATTTCAGTGATCATTTCACAAGGAATTCCAGCATTTCAGCGATCATTTCACAAGGAATTCCCGTGAGAATCCCAGAATTCCCAACAGAAATTCCAGCCACAATTTAACTTGGAATTTCAGCAGCAATCCCATAAGAATTTCCAACAACAATTCCTAAATTTCTAATTAAAAATTAAAAATTTCACCATTAATCCCAACAGAAATAAAAGCTAAAATTTCCTGCTTTTAGCAAAAACCTAAATTTTTATTAAAAGGCTGAAAATTGACCCAAAATCCCGGGAATTTTTCCCACCTGGGACACGGTGATTCCTCCTTTTTTGGCGAGTTCCTCTTTGGCCTCTTCGCTGGGGTAGGGATTGCTCAGGTGGGAATAAAAATATTCATTCAGCACCTCCGTGGCTTGTTTGCTGAAATTTCGTCTTTTCCGCCTAAAAAATGAGAAAAAAAATTAAAATTAATAATTATTAATTCATTAATTAATAATTTATTAATAATAATAGCATTAATTAATGTTATTATTAATTAATAATGGTTAATAATGGGGTTTTGGAGGTGCTAAATTAATTTGTTAATTGGGAAAGGAGTTTTTAATTTGAAATTAATTGAGTTGGTGGTAAAGGGAATTTTATGTGGGTGGTGGTTGGGTTGGTAATTAAGTTTATAAAGGTAAATTTAATATTTTATGTATTTTCTATGTAATTTATATATATTTTAATAGTA